GTGTGTGTGTGTGTGTTGTGTGTGTGTGTGTGTGTGTGTGTGTGTGTGTGTGTGTGTGTGTGTGTGGAGGCGTGACTAAATTAGAAAAGAAAGATGTCTAATTCCTTGAGAAAAACAATTTAGTGTTAAGGAAGTGAAAGGGTATCTTAATTTATATGAATCAATTCAATATGAAAAAAAATTATTATCATTTGGTCAAAGTAGGGATATAAATACTCATCCAAAAATCATCAATAATGATGGAGAACAGTTTCCTAGTAGGAATATTCTATTATTTGATGGCCCATATAATTCTAATGTACAAAAAAAGCCAATATTTATAGTAATGTAAGGCAACCATTAGAAGTACTGCTAAATATGTTGACAAGTTAAGTCAAAATAAAACATTTAAGAAGTATGGCATAGGAAATCATGCATTGATTCATATGTCTTAAAGAGATATCTCTCAACCAAATATAAATAGTTATAGGCCATAGCAAATGGGCCAATAAAAAAAAATGAAAAAAAAACTATATCTAACACAAACTTTTAAATTGGTTTCTACAAGTTTATTAACTCTATTATTAATGTAAAATATATTATATCACATGGGAAAAAAACCTCCAAGTCGATAGGATAATTCCTTTCATGACATTAAAAATTCGAAGATCCAAGGCCAAACTTCTAGATAAAAATTAAATAGTTATATTGTACGTTCACATTACTTGATAGTGCAAAATTGAGAAAAAATGTTCTTGCAGCCGACCCCACTTAGTAGGTTAAAGACTTGTTTTTGTTGTTGTATTGTACTTTCATATTTGTAATGAGATAATAATATGATACAACAACAACAACAACAACAACAAAGCCTTAATCCTAATACCTGGGGTCGGCTACATGAATCCTTTTTCTCCAATGCGTCCTATTTAGTTTCATATTTTCATTAGTTCTAATAAGTTAAGATTATTTTTTATACAATAAGCCCAAGTCTTCCTAGGTCTACCTCTGCCTTTCTTAGCATAATTCAAATCTAAAACATTTACTCTCCTACTCAGATCATTAGATGGTCGACTTTTAATGTGACCAAACTATTTAAGACGACTCTCTCTATTTTTGTCCGTCACTGGACTATACCAACCTTATCACGAATATATTCATTTTTGATTTTTTCTCTAAGTGTAAAGCCAGTCATCCACCTAATCATTCTCATCTCGGCAACATTTAACTTAGTATTATGATTATCTTTTAAAAGCCAACATTTAGTGCCATAGACCATTGTACGTCTCACCACCATCTTATAAAATTTTCCTTTCAGTCTAAGCGAAATGTTTCTATCACACAAAAGGCTCGAGCATTCCTCCACTTCAGCCAACCAACTTGAATTCTACTATGAACATCCCCATCTATATCACCATCGCTTTGAACAACATACCCGAGATATCTAAATCGTTCACTCCTTTTAATAATTTGATCACCCAAAGTTACACTCCTGTCACTAGAGCTACTACTACTAAAATTACATTCCAAGTATTCAATTTTAGTTCTACTCAAATGAAGGCCTTTAGACTCCAATGTAGACCTCCATAATTCAAGTTTTTCCTGGGCTCCTCTCATCTTATCCACGAGAAGGATATCATCAGCAAAAAACATACACCAAGGTATTTCCTCTTGTAAATGTACGGTTAGACCATCCATAACTAAAGCAAATAGATATGGGCTTAAAGCCGATCCGTGATGTAATCCAACTGAAATAGGAAAATATTTGGTCAATCCTCCGTCAGTTCAAACATAAGTACCATCTCTAGTATACATATCTTTAATGACTTGAATATAAGTCATATCAACACCTTTCTTCTCAATAACTCTCCAAAGGGTATCTCTTGGAACCTTATTGTAAGTTTTTAATAAATAAAAATCAAATGTAGATCCACCTTATTATCACAAAACTTCTCCATCAAACATCTCAATAAATGTATAGCTTCCATAGTAGACCTGTTAGGCATAAATCCAAATTGATTATGAGAAATCTTTGTAATACGTCTTAACCTATGTTCAATACCCTCTCCCATAATTTTAAAGTATGACACATCAACTTAATTCCTCTATAATTTGCACACACTTGTGGATCCCCTTTATTCTTAAAAATGGGGACCAAAATACTCTTCCTCCCTTCCTCGGGCATCTTTTTAGTTTTTAAAATAATATTATGATAATGAGATAATAATATAAAGTCTTTTGAAAAGGTTAAAATTTATACATTTTAAAATTTTTAATTTTCAACTTTAAATGCAATAATTAAGATAATTAGGATACTAAAAGTAATTTTACTTTGTAACAATATGAGTTGGAAATTTTAAAAATTCAAAATTCAAAATTATTGGAAGTTATGATTGTTGCCGTACTTTTGAAGGCCGTTCTAAAATTTCAAATTACCTTGGTAGGCCTTGATCCACATATTTTCTAGACATATGTAAGCGTTTAAGAATGAATGTATGTAGTTGAACAGTGAAAGGGTGAAAGGGTGAAAGGGTGAAAGGGTGAAAGGATGAGCGAACCAAGCACTCTTTCAAGGACTGGTCGCCCACAAAATTCTACAAACCATCCCAACACTCCCCCTTTTTATTTCATTGTGTGGTAAGGCATTAAGCATTGTTAAAAATGAATGTAAAAAAACGTTCTAATAATAACTTTATTTTATTAATTAATTAATTTGACTACATAAAAAATTTATTGTTTAATTGCTCATGACACCTACGAAGCAGGTGCTGTTCGAACAAAGCCTCGACAACCGTCGCTATTTATCGAAGCTTTTCTCCCTCCCTCTTCTCATCCCACATGAACTGATAAGGAAAGAGCTTATTAAAAACTACAATTTGAATATACACTATCACCTAGATAAAGCAAATAAAATAATACAAAAAACGGGTGGCAGTGCAAACTTGGTAACTTCATAAGAAGAGTTAATTAAAGATATAAAATATTTGCACTTATCAGTAGTGATA